TCTAGAATTGTGAGCACTGAGGCAGAACACTTCAAATAATATTAAAATTCAGTAACTGATGAAGAGTGAGTAATAACAGAAGTTTAGAGTTATGTAAACTGATTCTAATGAAATAATTCTGATTCCCACATTATTTTCCAGTTTTACAATAGTACTTTCATATGTATTTTCTCTTGTCCTACAAATAGCTGTTCAGGTAGTTTACTCACTGTCTCAGTCATCTAGTGCTGCTATAACAGAAATACCACAAGAAGATGGCTTTAACAAAGAGAAATTTATTTTCTCACAGTAAAGTAGGCTAAAAGTCCAAATTCAGGGCATCAGCTCCAGGGGAAGTCTTTCTGTCTCTGTCAGCCTTCTCATCGATGTTCCCCTGGACTAGGAGCTTCTCTGTGCAGGGACTCCGGGTCCAAAGGATATGCTCTGCTCCTAGCACTGCTTTCTTGGTCGTATGAGGTCCCCCTCTCTGCTTGCTTCCCTTTCCTTTTCATGTCTTGAGAGATAACAGGTGACACAGACCACACCCCAGGGAAACTCCCTTTACATTGGATCAGGGATGTGACCTGGGTAAGGGTGGTGTTACAATCCAGTTCTAATCCTCTTTAACATAAAATTATGATTACAAAATGGAGGACAACCACACGACACTGGGAATTATGGCCTAATCAAGTTGACACATATTTTGGGGGGACACAATTCAATCCATGACACTCACCCATTCTCTAGACAAAGATGTTAAGGCTCAGTGGTTTCACCCATGACATCCAAATCAAAAACAGACAAACCAAACCTGTTGCCATCGAGTCGATACTGACTTATAGAGACCCTGTACAACAGAGTAGAACTGCCTCATAGGGTTTCCAAGGAGTGGCTGGTAGATTACAAACTGTTGACCTTCTGGTTAGCAGCCTGAGCTCTTAACCGCTGAGCTACCATAGCCTAATAAGTGGCAGAACTGAGTTAAACTCAAGTTTTAAATAATGTTTCTCTCTCTCTCTTTTTTTTTTTTTTATTTCCAAAGGCATATCTTCCCCCACTCTGATATCAGGGAATAGGACAGAACAAGATATACCTAAAGTCTCCTGGAAGTTTAAGTCACAAAAGGAATCATAAAAACTATTCTCTTTGAAGAAGTTCACTTTGGCATTTCATTGTCCCTGGAGAAGTCCCGTCTATCTCCATTGTATCTTTTGTGCCAGGAAAACACCAGCTGGATCCTTACTCTAGAAAGTAGCGAGGTAGCATTTTTCAGAAACAAAATGCTTTGCTAAGCAAATACATCAAAAAATCTAGAAAATACAAATTAATGATTCTTTTAATGTTAAATATTATTATAGGGATACCCTGTGAATAAAACAAGAGTTCAGATAAGACTGGAATGTATTGCATTAACTTCTAAATATCATGACTCCTGTATTCTGGAAGGTATAAGGGGGTCGTTCAAAATAAGTTACTGTGAAATAGGATGATTCTTGAAGGATGAGGTGTAGCAGAAATGTGAGACTTTGTTGGATGGGTCATTAAGGACATTGCTTAATTGGGATTTATAGGACCAAGACCCGACCAAAGGTTGTAAATTATCAGTGTTGAACAAGTAAATGACTGCATATCTTGCTAAACTCACTAGAGAAGTTAAGGAGGCAGAAGGTAATGACTGAAATTAGAATTTGTCTGAAACATCAGGACAAAAATAGTTCTAGATATATGAAAATGGCCTGAAAAATAAAGCAAAATTGGTACTGCAAAACAGCAGCACATGCTCAAAACTTTGCTTATTTCTTTCCTTCGGAAAACAGTATGCAAAAGTTGGTGAGAATGAGCAAAGCTACTGAGTGGGCTCCCAAAGCAGAGGGAATTAAGCAAAGCTATTAAGCAGGTGAATTTCTGTAGAAAAAGGGCAAGAAGTTGTGGGGGATTGCTTAATTGAAAATTTACAGGGGAAGCACCTATTTCTCAACGTTCTTTCCAACCCTACAATTCTATTATTCTTTCTCACTTTGAGGTCCAGTGGTTTTGCCACTGCTACCTGCAATGTGCCTTTGCCTGAGTAAATACAGAATTAGTATGAGTACATTTTTAAGATAACTATCCAATACCCTTTACTTATGAATCTGTTTTGAGTGGTGGATCTGAGACCATTGATCTCCATCATGGAATCAGTTGATGCCTTTCATAAATAAATGATTTACTTTTATTTGGCATTTTTATAATGCAGTACTTTCTTGTCACAGACACATCAGGAATTTCCTTGTCAAGAGAAACCTGTGTATCCAGGCTTGTCTGTGTCTATCCTGTCATTTGACATCATTCATGAGTTTAGTTGTTGGAAAAGGAAGGAAGTCCTAATGAATAAGACCATTCATACTCCAAGTGTAGATTTTGTGGATTTCACCTGTATTGGTTAAATGTATACATGCAATCTGATTCTCATGTGCTGAGTATAAATGTATAAAGTTATAAGGTGATATCTTTTCTATGACTTCACAAATGTCAAATGAATGTCCAGCAAATGTCTGGCTTGCTAATGATAGGTAATTTAAGACCCTCATTAGCTATATACATCCATATCCTCAATTACAGAATGTAGCAAACTTAACATTATATTTGATAGTTTTAATTGGTGATTATACTTCCAAGAATTTTCAGTAATAGATACCCAATGTTCTAAGATTTTTTTTACGAAATATGATCAGCCTTTGAAAACAGAAAATCAGTATTACCATGATTTCAAGTCATAGTCTGAATGTAAGTATCCCTTTAAAATTAAATACTGTCAGTTTAAAATTACATATTGTCAGGATTGCACAGTTAGAGGGTTTTTTTTTTTTGAAATAAAGCTTATACACATGCCATGTGTATATATAATTGACAACAGAAGCACAGGAAATAATGTGAAAAAAAAAACCTTTGTTCATATTTGAAAGCTGTATTTGTTGTCATCTTTAAAAAGATGGTAAAATTGTCATTCAAACCAAATCCATTTATTCCATTATCTATTAGTTTCTGTCTCTTCAAAGCACTTGAATTGGAGGCAGGGGAAACAGGTCGTGAAAATGTCATGCAAAAGTAATTCTTGTACAGTCTTCATTCAAAGAATTGAGAAAGTAATGCCATGGCTTGGGTTAGGCACATCTTAGTCCTCAAGGTGACATCTTTGCTTTTTAACAGTTTGAAGAGGTCTTTGGGATTAATGTGCCTAATAAATGAGATTATTTATGGAATAAATAACTGTGCCCATTGTCACCGTGTTGATTCTGACTCATAGCGACTATAGTTATTACATTTTGATCCTCACCACATCCTCTTGATGTTTTTAGGGCAAATAATTTAATCCCTATGTTATTAAAAGAAAACTGAGACTAATGGAGATTAGGAGGTCGCCTGATTTATCTCAGGTCTCAGGATTAGTGAACCATATTATAGGGAATTGAACTAAGAACTCCAGTCTTTTAGGCCAGTGCTTGTTCTCCTACACTAAACTTTAAAAATAGCTTTTTGTTTTTTCCTGAAGTTTTTCCAGGAAAATAAAAGAGACAGCAGTTCTCTGTTATATTTTCTCCTTGATTTTGAAACAGTGCCTTGGTTTTAATATAAAGACCATGCTTTTATTTAATAATTTTAAGTATATTTTACCTTTAGTGATAGCCTAAATGTTCTAAATAACCTGCTGTATGCAGCAGTATATCCCATTAAGTCTAATCTTATGAAAGTTTCATAAACAAATCAATCATCCTTGACTTAATTTTCAGCCTATATCAACATCTACTGAGAATCTCAACAATTAAAATATCCATATATAACACCATATGATAAATGGATATATAAAGTATATGTGAGCTCATATGAAGAAACAACAAAAAAATTCTTCCTGGGAGTTCAGGGAAAGTGCCTGAGAGAGGGTGGCCATTCGAATTGAGTGTTGCGTGATAGACATTTGCCAACTGGAGAAGGACAGACAGAAGGAGAAACGTACAGTGGCCCCTTCTGGACTAAGGGGGCCATTTGAACAAAGGTGTAGAAGAACAAGAAACAGTGATTGGTCCAATACTGTTAAGTTGGGTAGATAGCAAACAGTGGAAGCTGTTGACCTGTGAAGTGCCTTACATGCAAATTTAAGGAGTTTGAAGATGGTTTGGTAATATCAAAGCTGCAATCGATGTTTTTTAGGGCAATTAGGCCATGATCAGATTTGTGATTTAGAAAGATAACACTGGCAGCAGTGTAATGGACCAATGGCCAGAGTAGAGACTACAGCCAAAACTATTGCACTAGTTCAGGATAAAAATCGAGACTAAGGAAGTAGCCAAGGAGGTGAGGAGGAGGCAACAAGTGCCAGAAAAATATGTTGCAGATATACTCACGGAGGCATGGCACTTGATGAATATACAGACTAAGTGAGATCATGGAGACAGAAAACTAGCTTAGAGAGATGGGCGAATGACTATAGCCATAACTAAGATAAGGAAGTATATTAAGTTTCTCCTTTCAGTAAAGGTTAGATTTAATTATAAGAATTCCATCTACTCATTTGCCATTTTTGTTACAGTAATAAATCTTACATTTTCATATAAAAGAAACTATAATAGTCCTTTATGCTGTGTTTTGGTGTCCTGGGATGGTGCAAAGGGTTCACCCACTTGCCTGCTAACTGAAAGGTTGGCAGTTGGAGTCCACCCAGAGAAGCCTTGAAAGAAAAGCCTGGCGATCTACTTCTGAAAAGTCAGTCATTGAAAACCCTATGGACAACAGTTCTACTCTGACACACATGGGGTCGCCATGAGTCGGATTTGACTGGATGGCATCTGGTTACTGGCACTACATTTCAGTAGTCTGTTTATCTTCTAGACTGTAAGTTCCTTGAGGTCAGGGAAGAGCAACCCTATCTCATTCACCTTTTGAATACCCAGAACCTTGGTACCTGGCACAGAGTAGAACTCAACATATATTAGATGAGTTGGATTGAACTTAAATGTATTAACAGCAATATGAGGAATGCCTAGAGGATTTTCTTGTATTTGTTCCAATTGTTTAGTTTATTTCAGCCTTTTCATTTTGAATCCTATCAGCTTTTTCCAGTACTGCAAACACTTCTACTTGACAAGAAAGAAAAACAGTAAGTGAATGAGAAGGGGGAAGGGAGAATTGCAGCATCTTGATTGAACTCTGCAGGTTTGCCTCTCTCATAATTTTCACCTTTGATGGGGAACTGTCCCAGATTTCATCCACCAGGCTAAGGTTCTGACATGGTACCTTCTTAAATCAAGCTTGAAGGGAAATTGATTGAAAAGAAAACACCATTATGGGAAAACAATTCATTCTCTTCCCCTTGACAGAAGGTAGACTTTTGTCTATATTGTAGAATAAATATTAGCCGGCTGATTGCTTTAAGATCTAGAAGTCTAGAGGAGTCACAATGGCTTTGTTCATTTTTTACATTTAGATTCCCCTCAGTTTTAGAGACATTTGATGCAAAGGTTTTGGATTCCTTTCAAAGAGGACTATTTTTTCTCCTTATGTGATTATTTGTATTAACTAGATATAGGTGTGGGATAACTCATGCAGATATTTCTGTATGCAATTATGTAAGCATTTCCATTGAAGTGTGTGTTTCTCCAGACAGGGATTAAGTATTTTTCATTTTTCAACTAAGGCCTTAAATACCACAGTTGTTCAGTGTTTTGAAAGGAAATGAATCTGAACTCATAAAGGTAAAAACCCCAACCAAACCCATTGCTGTCTAGTCAATTCGGGCTCATAGCAACCCTTCAGAACAGAGTAGAACTTCCCCATAGAGTTTCCAAGGAGTGGCAGGTGGATTCGGACTGCCGACCTCTTGGTTAGCAGCCATAGCTCTTAACCACTGTGCCACCAAAAGTAGAATGATTGCAAAAAGGTGTAATAGCCACTTAATGGTTTGGATGGTAGAAACTATTAACATATCATTTAGAAGGAGTCCAGAAAACAGAAGACATCCACATTATGAAGCACTCATCCTTTCATTGGGTAAAATTGGCTTTATTTTCTCTTGCAGGAATTGCAAAACTAGCATCTCCTGGAACAACATCTAGCTCTGAAACCTGTATGTTTGGTTAACATTCTAATAACATTAGATTGAGTACTCCCTCTATATTTCAACACGGGTCCTACCACCTGTATTGTGTAATGCCTGGCCTATTCACACATTTGTCAATTCCCAGCTCCCAAAAGAGTTGAGTTTGACTGACTAAAGGTCTTTTTGCACAAATCTGTGCTTTGCAAGAAGGTGGGTTCTTACCTAGCAATGAAGCCAGATGTGTGGCTACTGAGTGGACAAGTGGCAACAGGCACTTGTTTTAACATACTCCCTGACCGCTGTCTTTCCCCAGTCACCTTCAAAGTTTCAGAAGTCTTATCAGAAATAAAATGCTTGCTAATATATTCTTCATCTTCTGTGCCACTCTGTCCATCACTCTGCTATTCAGGTAGCTATTTTTCTACAAGGATACCTGTGGTGTGAAGGTATTTGACTAAGTCCTGGCCAGTGAAGACACTGTCCAGGTACAAAGCCAGTGGTGCTTCTTCTGAACTTGTCTCCTTTTGAGCCAATTTTGGAAGCATAGATTCTCTTTTCTTGATCATTTTAGTTCTAATGACTTTATTTTTCTCCTGAGGCTAGGTATGTGGTATTATTTCCTTTTTTCTTTTCTGTTCTATTCTGTCTCTCTTTCTCTTGAAAATCTTAACAGGGGTTAATGGACTTATGAGGTGAAAATTAAGTTAATAGAAATCTCTGTCATAAAGACTGTAGAATTGATGCTTGAATTCTCCTTGGCTTAAGTCAATCCTTTATCCTTTTTAGGTAAATGAACTAAATCTCATGCAGTTTCCTGTGTGGGAGAGTCTTTTTAGATGAATCATTTAAATTGAAAGCCCTGCCGGCTCATCAAGGGACACGATTTTAGAGTTCTCCTGAGTATTGTGTGCACACTTAGTACAGTCATTGAGACACTTAAGGCAACCATGTGCCTTGATCTTTGGGAAGTCTTGATTCATAGTTGGTTATTTGAGTAAAGGGAATAATTGCAGTTTTGTATCTCTGGATCTCTTTCTGAAATTTCCCTTGGGTCATTTTAAAATAAGCTGTCTTTGTTCCTTTGTGATCTCAAAACTGTTTATCATAAGACCTCAGGCCCGTTACCACTGGAGAACAAAAATCACATCTCATTTAGTTCTACAATCCCTAGCTGTTGTTGACACTCAGAATAGATGAAATAGTAGCCATGCTATTTTTCACCCCAAAGGGACAGAATGTTATGAATGCTGTGATTCCTGCATAGCACTGTGAAGAGATTTTAATTGGCAATTATCAGGTCTGCAGCTACCACTCATTTGTCAGTTTGTCCTACTGTGATGGCTTGCTTGTTGCTGTCATGCTAGAAGCTATGCTACTGGTATTTCACATACTAGCAGGATCACCCATGGTGGACAGGTTTCAATGAGTTTCCAGACTAAGACAGACTAGGAAGAAGTGCCTGGTGATCTACTTCTAAAAAGATCAGCCAGTGAAAACCTTATGAATAACAGTGGAACACTGTCTGATATAATGACAGAAGTAGACCCTCAGGTGGGAAGACACTCAAAATATGACTGAGGAAGAGCTGCCTCCTCAAAGTAGATTCGACCTTAATGACATGAATAGAGTAAAGCTTTCAGAAACTTCATTTGCTGATGTGGCATGATTCAAAATAAGAAGAAACAGCTGTAAACATCCATTAATAATCAGAACTTGGAATGTATGAAGTATGAATCCAGGAAAAGCTGAAGTTGTCAAAAATGAAATGGAACGCATAAACACTGATATCCTAGGCATTAGTGAGCTGAAATGAACTGGTATTGGCCGTTTTGAATCGGACAATCATATGGTTCATAATAAAAAAAAAAAAATTCAAGATATATTCTGATATACAACAATATCAGTGATAGGATAAGATCCATACACCTACAAGGAAGATCAGTTAATACGACTATTATTCAAAGTTACAAGCCAACCACTAATGCCAAAAATGAAGAAACTGAAGATTTTTACCAACTTCTGCAGTCTGAAATTGATCAAATATGCAATCAAGATCCATTGATAATTACTGGTGATTGGAATATGAAAGTTAGAAACAAAGAAGGATCAGTAGTTAGAAAATATGGCCTTAGTGATAGAAATAACACCAGACATTGCATGACAGAATTTTGCAAGACTAATGACCTATTAATTGGAAATATCTTTTCTCAGCAATATAAACAGTGATTATACACTAGGACCTCACCTGATGGAATACACAGGATTCAAATCAACTATATCTGTGAAAAGAGATGATGGAGAAGCTAAATATCATCAGTGAGAACAAAGCCAGGGGCTGACTGTGGAACAGACCATCAATTGCTCCTACTCAAGTTCAAGCTGAAGCTGAAGAAAATTAAAACAAGTCCATGAAAGCCAAAGTATGACCTTGAGTATATCTCACCTGAATTTAGAGACCGTCTCAAGAATAGATTTGATGCATTGAACACGAATGAATGAAGACTAGACTAATTTTGGGTTGACATCAAGGACATGATACATGAACAAAGCAAAAGGTCATTAAAAAGGCAGGAAAGAAAGAAAGACAAAAATGCATATCAGAAGAGACTCTAAAACTTGCTATTGAACTTAGAGTAGCTGAAGCAAATGGAAGGAATGATGAAGTAAAAGCGCTGAACAGGAGATTTCAAAAGGTGGCTCAAGAAGACAACATAAAATATTATAATTAAATGTGCAAAGTCCTGGAGTTAGAAAACCAAAAGGGAAGAGCACGATTGGTATATCAACCTAAACAAAATGAGGAAAAAATTCAAGCCTCAAACCGAAATATTGAAGGATGCTATGGGCAAAATATTGAACAACACAGGAAGCATCAAAAGAAGATGGAAAGAATACAGAGTCACAGTACCAAAAAGAATTGGTCAACATTCAGTCACTTCAGGAAGTAGCTTATGAACAAGAACTGACAGCAATGAAGGAAGAAGTCCAAGCTATAGTGAAGGCATTGATGAAAAACAAGGCTCCAGGAGTAGACAGAATATCAATTGAGATGTTTCAACAAATGAGTGCAACACTGGAAGCGCTCACACATCTATGCCAAGAAATTTGGAAGTTAGCTACCTGGCCAGCTGACTGGAAGAGATCCTTATTTGTGCCCATACCAAAGAAAGGTGATCCAACTGAATGCAGAAATTATCAAACAGTATCACTGATATCACATGCAAGTAAAATTTTGCTGAACCTAACTCAAAATCGGTTGCAGCAGTACCTGGACAAGGAACTGCTAGAAATTCAAGCTGGGTTCAGAAGAGGACATGGAACAAGGGAGATCATTGTTGATGTCAGATGGATCTTGGCTGAAAGCAAAGAATGCCAGAAAGATGTTTACCTTTGTTTTATTGACTGTTCAAAGGAATTCGACTGTGTGGATCATAACAAATTATGGATAACATTGTGAAGAATAGGAATTCTAGAACAATTATGCTCAGGAGGAACTTGTACATAGACCAAGAGGCAGTTATTCGAAGAGAACAAGGGGGATACTGTGTAGTTTAAAATCCGGAAATGTGTGTGTCACGGTTATATTCTTTCACCATACTTATTCAATCTGTGTGCTGAGCAAATAATCCAAGAAGCTGAACCATGTAAAGAAGAATGCAGCAGTTTGGTGGAAGACTCATCAGCAACCTGGGACGTGCAGATGACACGTCCTTGCTTGCTGAAAGCGAAGAGGACTTGAAGCACTTAATAATGAAGATCAAAGACTACAGTCTTTAGTATGGATTACACCTCTATATAAAGAAAATAGAAATCCTCACAACTGGACCAATAAGTAACATCATGATAAAGAGAGAAAAGATTGAAGTTGTCAAGTATTTCATTTTAGTTGTATCCACGGTCCACACCCATGGAAGCAGAAGTAAAGAAATCAATCGATGTATTGCATTGGGCAAATCTGCTGCAAAAGACCTCTT